CAATTCCTTCGCTTTGCACGGAAAATATAATCCAATGATGTGAAAAAAGAAAAAAGAAAACTAGACGCCAGAACTTTGAAATTTTATTTGAAGAGGTAGCCTTCGTTGAACATTTTCAGAACAGTAAAAAGAGGAAAATTTAGATTACCGGTCGCGCCATTTTACTGCATAGCAAAATAGATACAATATTAACAGTGCTAGTAGATTCAAATGCCTCCCTATTTATTTTAACCTCATTGAATTTAAAAAAAAATGTAATTATGAAAAAAAAGAAGAAAGCGACATTTCTTTTAAGCCATATATGTAGCATCTTTTTTTTTGTCATATATTGAAGAAAAAAAGGTTGGCCTGAAAAGTGGGAATTGGGAACAAAGGGATGAATTGCCGCGTTGTTTATGCAAAATATTTTAACATATAATTATTTTACTTTTAAAATTAGATTGTGTAACTGTAATCACTATACACTAAACTCTTAATAAAATGTAAATACATTTCACCCGAATAAAAACCAACGAACTAAATAATAATCAGGTCAATAGGTTCTTCTCTCAGTTTGTTCTGTCAAATATATACATTTGGCAAATAAAAAAGTGTTGATAAACGAAGTTCGTATGAATATTGATTTGCGGTTTACATGAAAATATATCGTCAAATTAATGAATACCACGATATGTCAATTAAATCAAATATTTCAGTATACAGGTATGTTAAGTCATCAAACGTACTTAAATAAAACTGGAAGTTACCTAGAAAGACAGGCAACATCATGGCTAAACTATAAAAACAAATAGACGAGAGCATACGAGCCAAACTACAGTTAAGGTAACACCACCACCCTTAATTGTTGTGTCCCGTGACCCAAAAGGAAGGAGAGTGAACTCAAGTACTCCGGAAGAGTAAGCAGTTCCTGATCCACTAGTAAGTCGTATAGTACTCCGGAAGAGTAAGCAGTTCCTGATCCACTAGTAAGTCGTATAGTACTCCGGAAGAATAAGCAGTTTCTGATCCACTAATAAGTCGTATAGTACTCCGGAACAGTAAAAAGCAGTTCCTGATCCACTAGTAAGTCGTATAGTACTCCGTTAGAGTAATCAGTTACTGATCCACTAGTAAGTCGTTTAGTACTCCGGAAGAGTAAGCAGTTTCTGATCCACTAGTAAGTCGTATAGTACTCCGGAACAGTAAAAAGCAGTTCCTGATCCACTAGTAAGTCGTATAGTACTCCGGAAGAGTAAGCAGTTACTAATCCACTAGTAAGTCGTATAGTACTCCGGAAGAGTAAGCAGTTCCTGATCCACTAGTAAGTCGTATAGTACTCCGGAAGAGTAAGCAGTTACTGATCCACTAGTAAGTCGCATAGTACTCCGGAACAGTAAAAAGCAGTTCCTGATCCACTAGTAAGTCGTATAGTACTCCGGAAGAGTAAGCAGTTACTGATCTACTAGTAAGTCGCATAGTACTCCGGAACAGTAAAAAGCAGTTCCTGATCCACTAGTAAGTCGTATAGTACTCCGGAACAGTAAAAAGCAGTTCCTGACCCACTAGTAAGTCGCATAGTACTCCGGAACAGTAAAAAGCAGTCCCTGATCCACTAGTAAGTCGTATAGTACTCCGTTAGAGTAAGCAGTTACTGATCCACTAGTAAGTCGTATAGTATTCCGTTAGAGTAAGCAGTTACTGATCCACTAGTAAGTCGTATAGTACTCCGGAAGAGTAAGCAGTTCCTGATCCACTAGTAAGTCGTATAGTACTCCGTTAGAGTAAGCAGTTATTGATCCACTAGTAAGTCGTATAGTACTCCGTTAGAGTAAGCAGTTACTGATCCACTAGTAAGTCGTATAGTACTCCGGAAGAGTAAGCAGTTACTGATCCACTAGTAAGTCGTATAGTACTCCGGAAGAGTAAGCAGTTCCTGATCCACTAGTAAGTCGTATAGTACTCCGGAAGAGTAAGCAGTTCCTGATCCACTAGTAAGTCGTATAGTATTCCGTTAGAGTAAGCAGTTACTGATCCACTAGTAAGTCGTATAGTACTCCGTTAGAGTAAGCAGTTCCTGATCCACTAGTAAGTCGTATAGTACTCCGTTAGAGTAAACAGTTACTGATCCACTAGTAAGTCGTTATTGGTACACAAAGCATCCTTTATTTAGTAGATCAACTGTACGCAGCAGCATCTATCAAAAATAGTATTATGATTGCTCATTCCTATTGTATCATGAAAAAACTTTCAAACCATAAGAAGTTATAAAAAAAAAACGTAATGCCACCTCTTTAATTGTTTTATTTATTTGAATGTGCTAGCAGAATTAACATCTCACACGGAGGTAACACTAATTTGAGTATCGATTGTCACGAAATCAACACTTAAGTGTTAAGTATAAGCGGGAAATCACTCCTAAGTGATACATTACACGATTTTTTGTGTTAAACACCCAAACACACTGATTATCTGCAACAGTTGCTCTAAATATGGTGTTACTTTTGGTGTAACGTTTCATCTTTTTTTTTTACAGTGTAGACCATAAGCACCACGTTAAAAAATGCTATAATCACACTCCCTATTTCCTAAATTTGAAAAAAAAAACAAAAAAAACCGCTCGTTTCAAAATCGAATTGAAACGTGCAAGTTATATCATCTTTAAAAAAAAGAGATATCAAAACTTTAGCATCTTCAAATTAGGAATCCCATAATTTATTGTGAAAGGATATATGTGAATTATGATATATAACAATTTTCTAAGATTAAGTAGCTCGATTTACAGTTTTTATGTATCTGCACCCCACCTCCAATATTATATACAAAATTGATATTATATACAAAATTGATATTATATACAAAATTGATATTATATACAAAATTGATATTATAAATAGCAGGGGTCATTTTCAAATAAGAAAAGGAAAAACATAAAAATTCATCTTAGCAGAAAAATAAATTGGAAAAACTGTTTTTAAATTATCCAATGAAAACATTTATTGGCAAAGCAATTGCATATATATGATTCAGAAATTTGACCGAGTTAGAAAGAGGTAAAATCGCGCGTTATTGGACACAGGTATCAAATTTATTTGGCGAAAAATGATGACAAAAATCGGCACTCAATTTCGAAGAAAATTTTTATCAGACAATATTTATATTTATAATTGGTTATCATACCACACCTTCTTATTCTAATATTTAAGAATTTAACATTTACCCTGTTAACGAAAGAATAATTGGGCAATTTCTTACCTCGATACCGTGCATTCAATTTCAATATATAAATATGAAAAATGAATTACCTTGTACTGTGTAGTTTGTTGACTAGTAATACATGATCTTTTTTTGTTTAGATTTGTAATCATCTAAATCATTGTGATTTAACTTCGTAACGATAAACAGGGAGTAAAACCCTATATTTTGTTTACTTCACTTGTATTTCTAGTCAAATTCAGATGTAAAATGGTGTAATATAGTATATCTAAATCTGATGACTTAAAGAACGTATGATAAAAAGGTTACATAAAAATCCTTAATGTTAGTGACTGGAGTATCATAGTTGAATGTAAAAAATGCAAGACATGTCAAATTTGATAAATCTTATCAAGGTATTAATTGTTTTTTTATTGTTTTAATGAATATTAATCTTGTAGAATAGATTTGTATTCCATTTTAACATGAATGGAAGTGAGGCATACTTTCTTTTTGTTTTGTATTCCATTTTACATGAATGGAAGTGAGGCATACTTTCTTTTTGTTTTGTATTCCATTTTAACATGAATGGAAGTGAGGCATACATTCTTTTTGTTTTGTATGTGTACTTTTTCTTAAATCGAGCCGCTAGTTTTCTCTTTTGCATTGTTTTACTTTATGTTACCTCGGAGCTTTGATGAATGCTGAACGATGTCCTGAAATTATTTCACATCTTTGTCCCTATGTTTTTGGTGGATTGTTTTCTCATTTGCATTTATATACCATATAATTATCTCCGCTTTTGTTTTATATTGAATATATTTTAATTAGTTTTGTGTCCCTTTTATATTTTTTTAGATATATTGACAGATTTTTTTTTTATTATACTTCAAGGATTTAAGAATATTATTCAACTAAACATCTTCTCTATAATAAATGGATACCTGAATCATATATCTAGATGTTACAATTCTTAACAACCTTTTACTGGTTGACATGTACACCTGGTAAAATATTCTTGAGCAATTTTGAATATTTGACAGGAGCCATCAATAATGTAAATGTAGCAGACGGTGGTGTGACTGTCATCATTTTAGAAATCTCCGAATCATCAAAGAATGCCCGATTTTACGAAGTGTATGTGTCTCAACTCACCATAGCGACATATTTTTGTGGTCATACCAGAATGGTATTTAACGATTGTGTCCATTTTTCGATTGTGACATTTTGACTGAGGCAGGTTTTTTTTATGAAACTAGAACAAATGTAAAACGCCTGAGACCTGAATCGCTGTTTTATAATTGATTGAAATTTCAAACTATCGACACACAGGAAGTAGCTGAACGGCAGATAGATGCTTACATGCTACAACTCCATTAGCTTGGCATCCTGACCCAACCTCCTCTTCACGTCTACTGTCACGGAGAAGGGAGCCAGGATCTCAAGCTACAACTCAGCATTATCAAGCTACAGAAATACTATAAAATCATTCCAAGAAAACTTTGACGAAAGTTTTCTACCTAAGGTCTTTCGGACGGACGGAATGAATGACAGAATGATGGACAGAGTTACGCAGTTAAGTAAACCTGTTTTAATTTCGCTTTTGGCGACGCATGTTAAAATTGGCACGTGTTTCCTTTAAACCGATGTAAAACATGGTTACCCGTGGCAATGTTTCCCTGATATTATTATGTTGTTTTCTCTTACACATTTTCAAACAATAAACTGAACATAAGCAGATTATTCTAACTATTCATGTACCAATGAAATTTATCCATCTTATCCAAACTTTCATCTTAGTTTTCAAAGTTCCTATCAACATGATCGCAATGGCTAAAATAGAACATAGTGATACAATACCAGTATTTTCTAAAAACCGTAATAGATAGATAGAATCTTGCAGGGCGAAAATTCGTTACCCTAAATCAACTTTGCTAATTTGAAACAAACTTAGTAGAAATAATATATATGGAGCGTCATGCAGTCTTATTTGAAAATGCATTATTTAATTTACTTCGGGCTGAAACAGGGCTAGCAAATTAATATCTCCATTCCGATTGCCCCCCGGGTCAATTTTGAAATATCGTAAACTACGTAGAAACCAACTATTTAATGACACTCTACAAATTCCTGATGTCTTGCTGGTCGGATAGTAAACGCAGCAGCAATAGAGCTTTCTAGATTTTATATGGGAACCCTAATGATTTTAGTGTCGCCAAGTCTGTACCAAACCTAGCAAGCATTGTGTTTGGAAACGTCTTTTTTCTCGGTCGAAAATATTAACATACTTCCCAGATACCATTCTTGATTCTATTTCAACGATTTTACTATTAGTATTTCCTTATCTCTGAAAATGCTCGCGATATCAGTGCTAATTTGGAGACCATCTACAAAGACTCCTGGATTGTAATGGTTTTGATGACATATACAAGACGAAGTACAGGGTAGCTATTGTGTTATATGCTTCCAGTTTTGATTATATAGTATGTTTGCTTTGTACCGAATATCTGATACTTTTACTTCGTGATTTTTTCCTTTGTAGTTTACTTGATGTCTCGTTTCTTTCTTGAGGACAATTATGAGTGTTTAATTATTTTTCAGATGGAGACTCCAATTTATGTCACACTTGCCTTGTTAACACTTGGATATGCTGTAACAGTTGTAGTCAGCTTGATAGAATCAGTGCCTCTACCATACGACCTTGACAATTGTATAAAACAGCATATATTACACTTGAATACCTCTCATACACCGCCTCATTTGGCCGAGGCCTTCTGCGTGAAAAAATTTATATTACTTAACCCTAATATGAGGGTGAAAGTGAACTTCACAACAGACGAAACTGATTATATACAATCGTTATTCAGACAAGTAGAGGCAGACTCCGGTGTAGATACACAGAAAGGTAGATTTAAACGACAAACGATGAGACGGAGAAGACACCGGCGGGAAATGAGATCAGCGCCTTATCTACAGTGGCAACAGTATGTACGTGCAGTGACAAGCTTGAAAAGGGCCCAGGTAATGAAAGCGTCTTTTATAAAGGGCTACTATGCTTACCATTTTAAGATTGAAGAGAAACAGTAAAAAATCTTCCTTGCAAACATTTATTTACATCGCTTTAATTTTAATTGAGATGCAACTTAAAGTTTTTGGTGGGGTTCGTGTTGCTTAGTCTTTAGTTTTCTATGTTGTGTCATCTGTACTATTATTTGTCTGTTTGTCTTTTTGTTTTTGGCCATGGCGTTGTCAATTTGTTTTCGATCTATGAGTTTGACTGTCCCTCTGGTATCTTTCGTCCCTCTTTTAAAATCATTAAAAGAAAAAAAAATGATAACACATCGACAAAAAAGCGTGTCCATCAGCCATTTTGCAAAGAAAACTATACAACATACCAGTATCTAGTTATGATCGAATAGACGTTAAATATCAATTTTTGTCTTTGTCACAAAAACATAATCATATACATTGTAGAGAGGAACCAATGGGAGAAGCCGTTATGATACCTTGGCAGCAATACACACTGCAGCAGTTGACGAAGTACATTTTGGTCCATCCTTTTGTCCATGGCATAGACTGTATTTAATACTGTAAGTAACACTGGTTTATTTTTTATTTTGAGGCGATAACTTTCATAACTTATCTTTTATGACAAGGTCACCTTCTTCTTTTTAAGACTTACAACTAGATCCACATAACAAAGAACTAGTTCCCGTCCAATGCTAAATAGATATTCCTAAATGTTTCCATTCGGTGATAAATCGTAAACGAGAAAAAAGAGGTCAGGATATTGGCTACTGAAAAAACAAACACAACCGTTGTCAATGAGAGTTGACATGTATGACACAGATATTCGGTCGTTCCTTGTTTATTCGTGCACCCGGCTTATTGCTCCTTGTTTCTGGTCCGTGTATTATCCTTTAGGTTTCAGTTTTGGTTCCCTGTTTACAAAAAGGCTACAGTATCTTTCAGCTGCAGTTGTGAACAGTTATTGAAAACAAATGATACACTAGTTTAAACATCATTGTGTCATAAAATATAATAAAAGAATAAAGAAACTGTTAAATTCTCCACTGAAAAACTTTCCAAGGTAAACCCAGAAAAGCGCTTCGGACGCACGAATGTATAAAGTTTTTATCTCATTTACTAGCACTCGGTCGATACCGCTGCTCGTGGACTGTTAGTCCCCGAGTTTATCATCAGCTCAGTAGTCAGTGCTTCGGTACTGACATGATTTATAACATATATATTTGTTTAAATTCCAGTTCATGAATTAGAAATTATGAAGAAACTAAAGTTCCAACTTCCTCAGGCAAAGTTGACCTTAGCTAATTTGCTTATTCTGTTTAAGTCTTTTTTTTTTGTCATATATTTCCCACGGGGGGTCTCTTCCTATATGAAGGTATATACATATGTGCCGCTGGAATTGGTCCCTTTTTTATGATTCGTCAAATATATCAATGGGGTGCAATTTTACCGAGGAAATATATCAATAGGTAGTAATTGACCAATAAATTAAAGTATATTATATAATTGAAAAGTGTTTTAATATATAATAAGATTGTATATGCATATAGGTACTATTTGAGCTGATAAAGATATGAATGGGTTATGATTTCGCTGTGAAATATATGTTTAGGTAGGTATTTCACAATAATTCAGTATATGAATGGGGGTGTTTTTTAAATCCCAGCTGCACAACTGTACCCAAAATCCCATGTTGAGACCCCCCCCCCCCCCCCCCCCCCGTGATATTTCCTAATATTTCAGTGCATTTACGCATCTCTGGCTTACAAATGTTTAAGTTGGAGCGATCCCGATGAAGGTTAATCCAGAAAAGCGCTTTGGACGCACCGAAATTTTTAAAATGTTAATTTCATTTAAAAAGCAAACTCATATGATTAAGATACTCTGACCAAGTAAGAAAGTGAGAAACTTTCGTGTTTTGAACACAGAGGTCAGACTTATTTTTTGGGGAATGATGACAAAAATCGGAACTCAATTTCGAATATGAAAATTTAGTATTCAAGTATCTGCAAAGGCATTCAAGGTTAATCAGAACATTTTTTTGGATGAACAAATCATTTTTGAAATCAATAGAATTTCGCATTTTTGTTTTAAAACAATACTTTTAATAAGAAAACAACACCCTGTAAATATTAAATAAATGGGCTTTTTTTCGTAGCTTGGTACCGTGTATCATCATATGTGGAAATCATTGCCCTGTTTCATTTCCGTAAAGACAAGCACCTGTTCACAAACACTACGCCCCCCCCCCCCCCCCCCCCAAAAAAAAAAAAACAAAAAAATAAAGAAAAAATGGTAGTAATTTCTTTATTGGCATTTGCTGATAATGTGAATTTTATTTTTTCTCTTTTGAATTATCTATTTTCTTTCTAATATAGTATTGAAACAGCTCTAAGAGTTCCTATACCTTACTGGGACCCAACCATTGATGGTGAGATGACAGACCCAACACAGTCCGTTGTTTGGACCAATAAATACTTTGGTAATGGCAATGGTTTGGTAGTGACTGGTCCGTTTAGAAATTATTATACACCCACAGGACCACTTGCTCGTAACATAGGATCGGATGGACTTTTGTTCTCAAAAGAAAATATACAGCAGTTATTTAGATATCGTTTTAATAGAGATATTTTTGAACCAGCCTCATTTGGTGGTCAGATGTCAACACTGGAAGGACAACATAACATGGTCCATTTCTGGATTGGTGGACATATGAATGAATTTGAATATGCTGCGTATGATCCAGTTTTCTGGAATTACCATGCATACGTTGATTATGTTTGGGAAAATTTCCGTAGATTGCAAGTCAGGAGAGGAGTGAATCCTGAGCAGGATATAGTGAGATCTTGGGAACAAGATCCGAACAGTTTTGCTGTTGGATTGCAAGGTTTAAGGATTCGGGAGGGTTATTCCGGGCGAATTGCTAGAATGGTGACCTATGAGTCAATGCCAAAATGTCCAGAGTGTGGGAATAGTTCTGACATGTTTTGTCGCCGAGGTGTCTGCGTTTCAACAAGTGGGTCTTACAGGCGAAATCGAATCTCTTTTCCTCGTAGGGTCAACCATAGAAGTTTTGGAAATACGTTCAGGCGGATAAGAGGGAAACGAAGTGTAATAAGTAAATTCAATGGTGCTAAGGACACCAGTGTTGAATTAACAGATCTTGCTTTTGTGCCTGTGAAGGTTATCAGAAATCTAAATCAAGACATAACTAACTATACCTCTGTCAACCTAACTATCGGAACAACTCGGGTTGTTAGTCCAGAATGTATAAGACATCCAGAAACTCTGCACAATAATGTCATTTACGCAGAGGCTGACGGACTTAACTATAAAGGAAAATACAAAGACTTTGCTTACGTGAATAATTCAGCTATAATTTATTTAGGGGCTCAGAAACCGACAAATGATACGTCGGAGGTCTTTATAACTGCTTATGACAGATGTGGTAGAACATGTATCCCAAATTGTTTGGTCAAAGACAGCAAACCACCAATATATAATACTTGTACAGGGGCCATTCGAATAACATCACAAAATCCAGTTATGTACTTATCCTTTCCGTATGAGCCTGAACTCCAACACCAAGATAATACGACAATACCACCAATAGAATTTCATTGTACATTTTGAGGAAACATTAAAAGTTGGTACAATATTTTCATATTACAGAAAATAATTATTTGAATAAAGGTTTTTGCAATTTTATTGAAAAAAATACCGCTAATTGACCATCAAGTTACAAGAAGAAGAAAACGACTTTATTTTCCAAACATATGCCGACTAAGTGATTGATAATTAAATAGGACAACACCAATTATTGAACAATTAAAAAAAATCAAATAAAACAGAATTAAAACAAGTGACATGACCCTTTTTAGAGTTATTTTCCTAATGCTTGTAGTTTAAAGGTTTGGTTGGCTTGCTTGCTGTGCATTGCTACAAGCATTAGGAAAATAGCTCTAAATACTAGTAAGTTTTAAAAAAAACTATAAATTAGAATAGCATGGTTGCAATCCGTCCGTAAGACAGTATTAATTAAAGCAGTTGACATCAGAAATATAAGCTTACGTGGTTGATATCTTTGATCAGTTTTTGCATGCTTAGAAATATGTGTGAATGTAAATTTCCCGTCCGTGTCAAAAACGTTTACATGAATACTTTGTAACGTATGGGTATTTTTCTTCTTGTTTGATTAATTTTGGTGTATAATTTTCAAAACAAGACAGAGAGAGAGACAGAGAGAGAAAGGACTAACTACATGTATCTGATAAAATGTATAATTAATAAAAACCACATATATGTCATCGTTTGAATGCATATACATATTCTTTTCTTATGAATAATTTGTCATTAGTATGTCGTTTGAGTTATGCCTCCTGTTAAATAAATTGACGTTTTACCTATATGATCGTTGACATCGGGAATAGATGGAATATGAAGGTTGCATTGATATTCACGAAAGAAAAATCTCAATAAATACATGGTAGACTCAGAGCAATGTTAATATTATTCTTTTTCCAACCAGTTATTGGAGTGTTTTTGTTACCACGAACTCGAAAATTCACATATATAGTATTTGAGGATCACAACAACGTAAGCAGTAGATAGAAAATGGCGAAGTCCTCCTACAAAATGTCCAAAAGCTATCAGACAACGGACATTACTATCATTATTATTGTTGTTGCTGTTTTTAAAACTCGTACACAATGCTAAGAACCGAAACTTGCAGAGATATAATTTGGGCAGCGAGTTACTTACTGTTCCAGAATTATATAGAAATAAGGAGATGAGTTATGATTGCCAATGAGACAACTATCCACCGAAGTTTAAATAAAGTTGATGTAAGCAATTACAGGCAACCGTACGGCCTTCAACAATGAGAAAAACCCATACCGTATAGTCGGCTATAAAAGGCCCCGACATGAAAAATATGAAACAATTTAATTGAGAAAACTAACGGCCTAATTTATAACAAAACAATTAACGAAAAACAAATATGACAGCCATGAACCAACGACAACCACTGAACTACAGGCTCCTGACTTGGGACAGGCACATAAAGAATGTGGCGGGGTTAAACATGTTTGTGAGCGCTCAACCCTCCCCCTAACCTGGGACAGTAGTGTTACAGCACAACATAAGAACAAACTATAAAAATCAGTTGAAAAAGGCTTAACTCATCAGATCGATACAAAGCAGAAAAACATCAAACATAAACACAGACCGGACGTGGCAGGGTATTTATCCAACCCTCATCCCTAACAAAAAAAAGGACACTAAGTACAGATCTGAGAGTACTCGCAGTTACTGACAGCTAGTTCAAAGCCAATAACAACTAATAAAAAAAATCATGTATCTAAGACTAAAATATCAATCAGTACACATCCAACATCCAATGGATTTAGTTTAAAGACGTCATTAACAGTCAGAGAAAAAACTTGACCTTGTACAATGCCAAAATGCCCCTTTATAACTTCGAATTTTTTGTTTGTTTCCGCACTCTTAACTTGCAGTGACATCAAATGCTCTCAAAAACTATTGTCACGTATTATAAACAAACTTGAACGGGGGCATTCGTGTCCTCATACATGTTTTTTTTTTATTTGGCAAATATATTTTGAAAATTCTGTCACTTATTTCTAAACAAAAATTCAAAATATTTGTTTGCGGTATACGCTGTAGCTTATATTAATATTTACCGAAACTCTTGAAAATTGTCACTTCCGGTCAATTATGTTTATGACATTATACTTCCATCACAATTGAGATTTCTGCAGTAAAAAGTGACTAAACTATGAAACTATTCTAGTTTAAGCATAACTTGGAAAATAATTGACAAATCTATCTATCACGATTTGCACTTTGATGGGCCTTATAATCTTGTCACGCATCCTCCTGCGAAGGGGCATGCAGAGGGCGTGTAACTCCTGAGAAATAACCATAACAGCTACTGTATAAGGTAAATTTTAAACGTTAGTTTTTGTAAAATTTACCAAATATTAGAGCTTATTCGAGGTTCCTTACATCCATTAATGATCATTAGGATGACAAACGGCATGTTTGGTTCTGATTGGTCATGCATTTCGCAGAGAATATGAAAATGTGACCGATTTCCAATCCAAATCCACTGGGATAAGTCTACACTCTAATTCATCATTATTATGGAGTTTTAAGAAAATTAAGTCTTATTAAGATTCAGATGAAAATAGAAAATGTACGAATTCATCATCATTAACCAGTAAAATGAGGTAAGGGTCAAATGAACCCGGTCAAACGGACATGTGCACTTACAACCATTCCATAAACCAAATACAGTCAACCTTTTGATTATAATATCTGAGAAACGGACCTTATTACACACACAAGTTTTTATCACTGGTCCAGGTCTGAAAGAACCGCCTAATAATCATTCCATACACTAAAAAGATTATACCATTAGAAGTGGACCATCACGAAATCTCATCATCGACCAATGAACCCACGGATCAGATGATCCTACCAGACGTACGTACATACATTCATCCCTTTATACCCACAGGCACTTGTCTCAGAAAAAATTTCCTATATAGGGGAAAAAAATTCCGAGACAAGTGCCTGTGTTTATACCTTACATATATTTGACCTAAAATGAACAATTAAAAAGTTAAGGTCAGACGAACCTGGGACTATTATATTATGTCCCAGGACGAACCTTGTCAGGTGGACATATACATCTTACAATCATTCCTTACCCAAAATATATCGTATATATTAGCGAATTATTATAAATTTAAACCAAACTTGTTGGGCAGGAAAATTTTGAAAATGAATAATTTGGCCTGGTAAGAACTGAAAATAAACTTTGCACAAGACAGGATGAAAATAAATATTCTGCAACACAAAATGCCGAATCTAAATGCGTACTAAAGCAAAGCTGCGGAATTTGTATATGTCTCTGCTATTAGCCTTTTTCATCTCATGAGGAGGAAAACCCCACCATGATGGGTCTGGTGATTTATAATAAATGTTACGCTCCAGGACAATAAAACAATTGCAAAAGCTGAAATGTCGCTCCTACTCGCCTTACGGATCATGATTAAATGGAGTCATGGTCAGATGAACCCTACCAGATAATGATTATTATGTACACTTTAGGACATTCCATACACCAAATAAAGTTAACCAATACCTTATAGCAAAGGTATAGTATCTGACAAACCGACATAATCACAAAAACTTAATGTTGACCAATGAACCATGAAAATGAGGTTAATGTCATATGAGCCCTGCGAAACAGACATGTACGCCTTACAATCTTTCCATAGACCAAATATGCTTGACCTTTAATTAATCAGACATAACCATGAACATTTAATATTGACCAATGAACTATGAAAATGAGGTCAAGGTCATATGAACCCTGCCAAACGAATATGTACACCTAATCATTCTATACAACAAACAGTGTTTACCTTCTGTTTATAGTATCTTAGAAAATGACATGACAAGAGAAGAGTGCACACGCTGAAATAGCTCGCCTGATTTACTGACCATGATAGATTTTATGTTGATAGTCTTAATGATGAAGTGTTACAAGTATCGCATACACAGTATCAATGATCCATGAAAAAAGAAGACAAAAAACAAGCCAGACAGACATGCACACATTACAATCATTATATTCCCAAATATAGTTTACCTTTTGCTTATAGTGTAAAAGAAATAGACTTAACCATGAAAACTTAATAATGACCAACGAACCATGAAAATGAGAACAAGGTTAGATGATACCTGTCTGATGGACATGCAGACCTTGCTAGGGACTTGTATATCAAAACGTCATCTTATTACCTATAACAACTGATATATTTTAGCAGTTGCTAAGCAATGAAAATGAGATCAAGGACACTGGTCACATAATAAAGAGAAACTTCAGAAAATAACGCATCTGTATACAAGGTATGATATACCTTCTCAAATATGAGGCTGTATACAAACAGTTTTCCCTGCCGCCGTTTAAGCACCCTTTTATCTTGAATCAAAAAATCAATTGCAGCTCAATTTTTTTTGTATGCGTTTAAAAAAAATTGGTTAACCAGAAACGTGGGGCATTGGTGCCAGCATAGTCCAAGTAGTTCATCTATAGTGATCACTAGTCAACACTGATGTTGTTAGTTTTAATTAAGCTCGTGGCAAGGTGCATTCGAATCATTTCAAAAATGACAAGGAGACTCTGCAGAAGCTATGTATTTCTCTCTAGTTTCTTCCACAAATGTAAACTGTTACTTGCTGACATGATATAGAAAACAGTATTGAAAGTGGCAGTAAACACAAGCAATCAAGCAATCAATTAACTAGAAACAAGACTGTCAAGAGGTTCATTATGAAAACCAAATGCCTAAAGATTACAACAGGAAATACAATGGACCTTATAAAACAAACTGGAAAACTCAAAAATGTTTTGCATGACAAATTATTTTGACCATACTTATCATAACCAAACCACAATGATGTTAAAATGTCTCAAGGCATGCAGAAATTAAATTTCAAATTAAACTTGCTATTTGTTCAGGCTTTCAAAATTTGTGTCAGGTTTTTATGCTTGGAAAGTACATGTTAATGTATTAAAATATAAAATCAATTTTGGTTAACAAATAACAGTTGCTTGTAAATAGATATTAGTCATGCCAAAGGCCAAAAAACGTCTCTTTGACATTATTTAATTTGCATAAAATCAAGCCACATCAAGTAGTGGTAACAATTTCCGTATATGAACCAATTATAAAAATAAGAAGATGTGGTATGATTGCTAATAAGACAACTCTCCACCAGAGACCAAATGACATAGAAGTTAACAACTATAGGTCAGCGTACGGCCTTCAACAATGACCAAAACCCATACCGCATAGTCAGCAATAAAAGGCCCTTAAATGACAAATGTAAAACAATTCAAACGAGAAAACTAACGGCCTGATTTATATACAAAACAATGGACAATTAAACCTAATTATGAAGCTAACTTCTTTTCTGGGTTTAAGAAAACTATAAAAACAAGATTTACATGTTCCAACTTTTAAATTTAAAAGGAACTACACTCATGACACTTAGCTATGAAATCATAATCAAAAAGAAAGAATTTTTGACATTTTTCCACCATTTTAATGTGTTGTTGTCCATGTTGGGTTGTTGTCAAATTGTCCTTTGATCTTACAGATACTAACTGAAGTTAGTCATTATCAAAGAAACAATTTGAAGTAATTCAAATAAGAAGGAACAGAGTATTGTCAAATATCTGTAATAAAATTTCATAAAAATATTTTATTTCAAATAATTATATAACAAATGTAATAAATTCTCTGTTTATAGAATATTCATATAACAAATTAAATACTTCATTTAAAATAATATATTTAAATAAAAATTCAGACTTACACATAGCACCATATTCATGATATTACAATTTAAACATTAATCAGCACTTTTCAGCACTGTTGGCTATATTGTGGTGGTAAGTTAATATTGGTGGAGGAAGCCAGAGTGCCTGGAGAGAACAATTGACCTATGACAGGCTAGTGAAACTGTAGATGAACCACTTAGACCACTCCATCACTGAGGCCCGTCTTTGACGTATGACAACTTTTTTGTAAGATTTGCTGGGGCAGTGCAAGTCATAAAATAGCCAACCTACCTCAGAGCAATCTCACACTAGCTGTACATTGGCCTGCAGTCATGCCATAAAGTTATTTTTTCCTATAAACATTAGGATATATATATAAAATTGTAATTTTATCAAACCTCTCTATGGTGTGCTAGTCCCTTTAATTACAATTCCTTAAATATTATTGGCCATGATCTGTCTCTTTGTTTATAATTATTAAAATTCTATTTGCATTGTTCCAGCAGTCCCCTTGTTCACAACTCAATAAATCTGTTTTCTAATGTTTGCCAGTATAAAGGAAATTTAGTTGAAGGACCATATTTAAGTCAAATTTGAAAAGATGGTTAACAAAAACTTAACTCATATGTGATCTGAAACTAATCATTTTTAGTAACAGTGGCTAATATTACAATGTTGGTTGATTTTAAGGAACATTTGCCATTTTGGAACATATTGAAAACAGAAACCCTTAGCGGATTGTGATCAAGTTTGGATTCATTGGACTCAGTGGTTTCAGAAAGAGTTATAAAAATGTCTACAGACCAACAGTGACAATGCTATGGACATAGACTGAAATACATCAAGGAACAACAGCTCACACTGGCCCCTTAAGCCTCATAGGTTAGCAACATAAACCTAGACATAGGAAATACAGTCAAAAAGATTTTTTTGTCAGTTGGAATTTTTTTTTACCTGTGCAACTTGACTTCACTATGAAGTCAGTCAACCTGTGAGTTTAAGAAATATTATTAAAAAATTTTGGAGAATTAAATCATCATTTCGTTGGTCAGATTATGGATGACTTTATACTTGCTTTTTTTTTTATTGTTTTGTCATAAATCAGGCCTTTGGTTTTCTTGTTCGCATTTTGTCATGTCTCTGCCTTTTACATGTTTTATAGATGTATGGGATTTGCTCATTGTTGATGGCTGTACAGTGATCTTTTGTTGCTTATATCCACGTCATTTGAACTCTGGCAGAGTGTTGTCTCATTTGAAATCATACCACATCTTCTCTTTTTTTTCATATCAAACTATTTCTTCAGATTTTAGTTAAATATTTCTTGTTTGATGCAAATATATTACATCATGATCAATACAGATATAAAAGTTTTATTCCAATATTTTAAGAATCAGATAGAACATGTAGAATGACACCTTTTCAGGTTTGTAATAAGAAAATCAACTTTGTTGGACTTGTGCTTGGTTTACATTAATCATAACATATAAGATAAATGTACAATAAAAAATGCCACTGTCATAATTTATCTTCATTAAAATTTATAAATAATTAATTAATTCAAATTTTTGCATAGTATACTATATTCACCAATATCAACTTTCCACTCGCCCGTTTTTACCGTATTTCACCCTAGAAAAATAAATGTCAAATAAAAATGAGACAGCATTGTCAAAGAGTACTCTATAATGAGTAGGTAAGAAATAAAAGTTGAAAAGCTGTGCTGGTGGCCATACAGCTAACTCTGCAACAAACAGTTTCCCGCCTTTCTCAGAACATTCTTCTTTAACAGCAGTCAATGATTTCTTTTCTAAGAAAGTTGTTATTCCTAAAAACAGTACAATCACAACAGGTGAACACACCAGCTGATCAACAATTAACTTTTTAGCCAGTAACTTATAGCATCTACCTGGTATCCACCAATCAAGAAACAGATACCAATAGTGACAGAATGGTCCAATAAAAAGACCCGTAATAGCAACATCACGTGAACGTTTTATATCAAGACTATCTATTTCCTTTTGTTTGATTTGGAATCTCTGATTGAGAAAATCTCCCGTTGTAGATAAAGTTACTCCTATACATACATTGGTATATAATAAATACTTCCTTGAGAACAATATTCTTCCCCTTGCTGCCCAGGTTTTTACAATAGGATGAAATGCAACTCTTACTGAACCAAAGTTCATCTTCAAATGGTAATATCTGGTATAAAGGTTTTATGGTACACATTTACTCATTGTTTCTGAAATAAGAAATTGATAAATATATAAAAATTTCAACAATCAGCTTTAGTTCAAAAATGCATTTTTTTTTGTCTGTCTTAATTACAATATGGTCTAGATAGGCAAAAGGGGAGACTTGTGTGCATAAACTGGTTTAACATCATTTCATATTGTGCTTGCATTTGTTCCAAGTCTGGCTATATGTAAACTATATATATGCAACAGTTTCACAGTCAATAAACCATAACACACAATGACTTAGCAGCCAGGGCCAAAATTTTTTACTGGAAATGAGATGTGCCAATGCTAATACAAATGCATACCAATATAATTGACCTACAACTAGTGGTACCCCATAAACTGATCTAATTACAAACTAATACATTGTTGATGCCACAGTAGTCTAAACAAGAATACACAAGTCTGATCTTTGAGTGATATTTTATGAATTAAATTGTATGAGATATCTCTTACAATGTCTTATATTTCATGAATTATCTCATATAGAAAGTATTATAAGATATCTTTATATAATCATGATAATTAACTCGTACATTTGATAACTTATAAAAAAGTTAATAACATATCTGATAAAAAATATAAGATGTCTTACAAACTAATAAGATTTAATTATAAAATATCGCGGCATATTTACAGTTTTTTAAAATTACGCCCCTGTCAAAAATTCTGGATCTGCCCCTGGATTTTATAAAGTACATTTTATATAATTAAGATATCTTAAATTGGCGAGTTGAATAAACATAATATGGGATTCCATAGCAGGTTGACAATTTAGTGATTGCACTTATCTACATTTGAATATTTGACCACTAGTCATGCTAGTTGTCTTGTTTTTGTGTTGGGTTGTTGTCTCATTAATATATATTCCACCGTTATGGCCCACATCTTCTTTTATGAATATTAATTGATTTTGTCAATAGACGTAACCCTCAATATTTGCTCAATGCAGATGCAGGGTTCCACAGTCCGCTGATATGAGAAATCTACAATTTTAGCTTTATAGAAATGATTGACCTATAATATTTATCTCCCTTTGAAATTTTTAAAAAGAAATATAAGTTTCTGCAATAATATTTAGAAGTCAAGTCTAAAATTTTACAGGCATAATGAAAAAACATAATTTTAACTCTTAAAATGATTTTGCAAAGTTTTAAATTGCACTTCAAAATAACAAGCAAAAAACTAGAATTTCATCAATAGTCGTCAAAGGCAAAGGAGAATATTTTGTATAGTCTAGTCGGGCTTTATAAATACCCAGATCATGCAATATCAAATCACAATTCAGATAAGCAGAACTTGTAACATATGTGGGGCTAGTTACTCAGCATGGTCATGTCTTAGTCTCAATAAGTATAACATCTTTGAAAGATATTTAATTTTTGCTTTGATGTCTTCATACTGATATCTCCAAAATACGCTCAGCAGACATCATGATTATCTGCACTAATCGTCTAATCCAGTACCAGTTATCATCACAAAAAGATTTTAACAGGAACTCTTTTTAGAAATATTCTATTGACATAAAAAGGGTTACGAAAAGTAATCACCATAGACACTGACTTTAAATCCCTATTGACAAAAAAGGGTTACAAAAAGTTTAGCACCATAGACTCTGACTTTAAATCCCTCTTGACATAAAAAGGGTTACGAAAAGTTTAGCACCATAGACTCTGACTTTAAATCCTCTTATAAATCAAATATATAAACAACAAAAAACAGGTAATAAGTGTGCAGTTTTTCATGAAATTTTATTGGAACGAGGACCAGTTACCGGGTATTTTGAGCCCCTACTATGGAAAATTGAACCCCCCTATAAACCTCAGATTTTCAAATTGTCATAGCTATTCGAACTACTTTATATATTTTTAATGTTTTAATAAGTAATTGGTAGGAATAAAAAATGTAAGAAAAGTCTGGTTTAAGCAAAAACAGGGGGTTCAATTATCCATATGGTATTTTGACCCCGATGTCATGGATGTCAATTTTCCATAAGGTGTTTTGACCATTGGTCAAAATACTATGACACCTGCACACATAAAGCTAGCTTCTAAATAATAGAAATTTCCAGATAATTTGAACAGAAAACTGCGGAAGGAGACAAAATATTTTTTGAGACGATTTTATGCTGAAAAATCATGTAAATTCACGAGAAACATTTTAATTACTTATTTTTTTGTGATCAAGAATGGGTGGTGGGTGATCGACCTCGGGTTAACAGTGTTACTCATTCATAAAAAACAACTTGAGATTGGTGCATCAGAAAACATATATAATAAGGACCATTAAAGAGTTAAGGGACCACCCTTGCCGTAATCCCTTTTGGGATTCTGAGTCTGGAAGGTTTTCTGATTTTATGTCAGAGGGTGGGCAAATCAGAAAATCACTCCTGACAAAGAATGCCAAAAAGGGATTACCCTGAATGCACCTAGCTAGCTTCTTATTATTATCTTGTATTGTAATCCCAGCTATGGGACACCAAGGAGTCAGTATATATGTTTAACTTCTTGTTAAAAAAACATCAATAAAATGGTGCAGTTGATTGTTAAAAATACATTTTGGTATAAAATCTAAAATATCCTCACAATTACTTCATTAAATCCAATGAATTAAAACATTAGTAGTGGCAACAAAAATTATTACAGTTATCACTATGTACATCTTCAGTAGGCATGGTAGGGATTCAAATATATATCATGGTGGACCTGTACACAAATTCAAGCAAGGCCAATTTCCATGCATAAATTAGACAAAGTAAATCCATCTTGAGTGCTTAGCTATTTATCTAGATACATGTCACTAGCTATATCAAGCCTACAGGCTACAGCACTTTAAATATATGAATAAGCGTACACAGAGGACAATATTGTATGGATGTGTGAGTGGAGCATAAAATGACTATTCATGATAGATGCATATGATTTCTATTGGTTTAGTGTAGAACAACCCACGCTGATCAGCGAATGCTTTAATTCACAATTGAGCACAACATCATCAGTAAATGAGGCAAATGCGTTGAGATTTGGCAAAAATTGTAAAGATCAAAGAGAAAAAACAAATTATTTTATAGATGAAAGGAAAATGCAGCCAAATAAGCATGCAAATGCGTGAATCTCACACAAAGTGAGGCTTGACAGCACTGGAGATAGTCAGGTCTTTGAACTTTGTATAGTACATGTTGCTCTGAGGTCCTTATGTAAGTTGTGATATTTTTTGCAGCCAGCTAACCTGTCCCAAGTTATGCTCTTGGTGCCTATTTTTCCTACCATTCATAACAGAATATGTGACAATCTCGACTGGTACTTTGTTCAAACAGTCACCAGGTTCTTATAAATCGTGTGTAAACCTTACCTCTATGCTTTTATAACCGGTCCAAGGTTAAGTAAAAATATATTACTTTCGGTTCTCCACGGCATGAGGTAACATATAAATTGCAAACCGTCAAGAAAAACGAATTATCGACACTCCACAGACTGGCGGTTCAAATATACAAATGTGAGTATTTGAGTAATTGTTATTGACTTTAACAACATGCACCATTACAACTTTTTTTCATAATTATCAAATTAACTGTACATGTATTTAGAATGTATTATTTTATTTGCTTTTTATGTTCTATAAATCAAGTCACTTTTCCCTCAGAATTGTTCTTTTGTATTTATTCAACTGTTTATAGTAATAATCTAATGATGCCCATTGTATGCCCATTAATTTTGAATCAATTATATATTCTCTATATATGTATCTGCCAAAATGAAAAGTTGGCTTAAAAAAATTATAATAGTAAGAATTAACGTGTCTGATTATACTATATATTTAAGTTTTTTTTAAAGATTAGATTAATATTAGATATTTTATTGGTTTAAAATCCAAAATTACAGGATTGTTATATAAATTTGTATCAATAGTGGCAAGGTTCCGGTGCAAAAAATAGTTGACATGCATTTTGTAGCCGGACACACGGACACAACCGGATAAATTATAAATATTGAATATACTAATTCAGTTTAAAGGCTTAATTTAATACAAATGACGGTGTTCTAATGTAAAATGCCACAAATGTAAATTTTAATTAAATACAATTTTCTGGAACACAAATTATACTGTAAATTCGTATTGTCATTGCGTAGGCACCGGACACATCCATCTAGAATACCAATATTTAATATTCAAATAGTTCCAGTGTAATTTGTATATCCCTTCCATTATTAACAGATTCTTACATTAATATATGTATGATAATCTCTGCTGAAGAGTTGTAACACACATAGTTATTTATTAGGCGTATTTATTACGAGTCAATAAAGATATATGATTATACTTTCCTCGTGTGTTTCAATTCCTTTCATGATGTCCAAATCGGATTTTTTTGCATTGGCTAACGAATTAACTTTATAGTTATAATCTTTCCTAAATATGGCACTTTGTGAAGTTGGAATCAGTTATTAACCCTCAAGAGGAAGAAAGCAACCCAATCTAATTAAAATATAGAACTCGGGTTCTATATTCTAATTAGATTGAAAGCAACCCCGTAATACCATATAGACTAGAATCAATCTGATTAAAATTCAGAAATATCGTAACTCGCTTACTCGTCGAAGAGTAATACGAATACGAATACGAATACGAAAGTTTTATTTTGATTCGGTTCACATATAACAGTACAAACAAGCTCTTGAGAGCTTTTTACCCAACATAAATACCATATACATAACATTAGAACAGATAGCATGCAAATAAGATATATAAGCAGCATATATTACAGTGCATAGATACAGCACAGATATCAGTTTTGAAATACATGCAAAGCACTACTAAACTACACATCTAAAGATGCTAAAACTGAAGCATACTTAAAAATGATTTAAGCACAACTAAAAATTAAGCAAAACTAATTTGAAGCACAACTTAAAATTAAGCAAAACTAATTTGAAGCACAACTATAAATTAAGCCGAAAACTAATTTGAAGCACACATCCAAAATTTAAGGCATCATGCAACATTAAGCGCTATAACTAAAAAATCATATCAATCTAATCTGATTTAACTATAAAACAATTTTTCACGATATACAAATCAAAAATCGAACCACGCTAGTATAATTTTAAAATTTCAAAATTGACGCAGGCTAAGTTTTTACAACAGACAATGCATAGATATGCATCCAAAAAAGAATAATAATATGCGATATGAGCTGATAAAATTTTAAAATTTCATAGGTGACGAATGACAAAGACTGCGTATAGATTAATAGCACTGTACGATTTGAACTGGTATAATTCTAAAATTTCAAAGTTGACAGAGGTTAAGTAATTACAACAGAGACTGTGTATTTAAACATCCCAAATGAATAGCACTGTTCGATTTGAACTGGTATGATTCTTAAATTTCAAACTTGACGAAGGTTAAGTTACTACAACAGATAGATATAGGAAGATGTGGTATGAGTGCCAATGAGACAACTCTCCATCCAAGTTACAATTTATAAAAGTAAACCATTATATTTCAAGGTACGGCCTTCAACACGGAGCATTGGCTCACACCGAACAGCAAGCTATAAAGGGCCCCAAAAAATTACTAGTGTAAAACCATTCAAACGGAAAAACCAACGGTCTAATCTATATAAAAACGAGAAACGAGAAACACGTATGAACTACATAAACAGACGACAACTACTTGAAATCAGATTCCTGACTAAGGACAGGTGCAAACATTTGCAGCGGGATTAAACGTTTAAATGGTACCAAACCTTCTCCCTTTTCTGAAACAATAGTATAACATCACAGAGGCTGCATATTTATACATCCCAGATGGATATAGCACTGTGCGATTTGAACTGGTATAAATCTAGAAATTCAGAGTTGACGGAGGTCAAGGAATTACAACAGCGGATCCAGGGGGGGGGGGGGGGGTTCCGGGGGTTGGAACCCACTTTTTTTTGACGATCAATGCATTTGAATGGGGACATATAGTTGGAACCCCCCCCCCCCCCCCCCCCCCCTTTATCCTGGGTTGGGAACCCCCTTTTAAAAATGGCTGGATCCGCCCCTGAACAGAGACTGCTTAGTTAATATACAACCCAAAATGAATTGCACTGCGCGATTAGAACTACACCTTTTCATTGATCCCATTTGGTGCCATTGTTTTTAATTTTCTTATCCCAAATCTTTCCCGAGTGATTCCCTCCTCCTTAGACCAAGCAGTGTTGTGGTCTATGATGGTAATAGTCAGTCGATCGAGATCTGCCTTAGTATGGCCAGGGATCTAAAATGTCGACTAAGAGGAAGGTCTGGCTTGCATTCATAGTCCCCGCTACGATGGCCGTTCATACGTTAGCGAAAAAGTCTTAAGATTTGCGCAACGATACTAATATAAGATGGTAATATACGGAGAGGATGTTATAAAATCGTGTTATAATATAAGATGGTAATATATACGAAGGGAATGTTATAAAATCGTGTCAATATAATGATACAGCAACAAATGACAACCATGCACTGAATTACAGGCTCCTGACTTTGCAGGCGCCCAACCCTCTCCTACCCTAGGGCAGTGGTGTAACAGCGCAAGTTAAGAACAAACTATAAAAATCAGTTAAAAAGGGATTAACTCGATCATCAGATCGATACAAAACACAAAAATAACTAACAAAAACACAAAAGGCACAAAGTGCAGATCTGAGAGTAGTAGTTCGCAGTTACTGAAAACTAGTTCAAAGCCAATAACAACTAATAAAAATATCAGGTATCTAAGACTAAAAGGGCCTTGTTTGTATATTGATATAAATATATATATGTATATGCTGCTTTGGCCGGTTTGCTTCAATATGTTTTATGTGTATCTGCTGGTATGCTATGATTGATTATGTAATGATATCATATATCAGTCGGGATAAAGGGGCATTAGCTACGAATTAGAAAAAAAATGTTATTTTTTGTTCCGAAAAGTGTATAAAAGAAAAATATAGAATTATTATTTCGCTATAAGAAGCGCGATGGGTGCGACATGTGGAGTAAGGTCTGCTTACCATTCCGGAGCACACGATATCACCCCGGTTTTTTGTGGTCAGTCTTGAGTTTTCTATGCAGTGTTTTGTAGACATGTTGTTCCTTTTTTACACAGGTACTTGGGGACAGGACATTTTTGCCCTCCCCCTTTTTTTTATATATGTCTCTGTTTTTACTTTCGATTTTTAGTTCTAATAGTGATATACCGCAGTTGTAGGCAAAACGTTATAGAAATCTGTGACATGTCCCATGTAGTACATATAATTCCATCTTTAAGTCAGGTATTTCGAAAACTAAGAGGCGGCAGATGATTTCAAAAGAAAATCAAACTCATAATGTAGGTACATGTGTATAGAAAGACGGTAAAATCGAAGAAGAATATTCTTTCAAATTGTTTTAAAATCACATCAAATCTCCAAGATCTTCATAGATTTTTCTTCAACATTCTAATTTTGCTTCAACAAAAATTTACGTTTTATTGATATAAAATAGCAAGGACGTATATTAGACGTATGTTAGTTATACGTCCTTGAAAATAGTAATTGGGTCACCTACTTTCTAGTTTTCTTTTTGTTATTCGTTTTGTTTCGAATTTCGCAAATTATCCTCTCATGAAAGGAAGTTCATCAAACGCCATTTCCCCCGTTAAGAAGAAAGGAACATGTGTTGAAAAAAGAGAAGTCTTTGAAACTCTCTGTTTAAATACACACTTAATTTCACAAAAGTAAGAATTATTTGAGTGGTCTCTTATTTTCCAACAAGTCCTGTCTTAAAAAAAGAGCGCAAATACGATATTTTTTTCTGAACCACCAAAAATGATAACGATATCCGATATCGCAAACATTTACCAAGCGGACCGACGAGGCATTGAATTAAAGAATGTCAAAGTACATACCACACCATAATGAAACATAAACAAACATTCGATAGTTTATAGCTACATTGAAAACTTTGAAAGACTAGAGCTATTTAAACCCCACAAATTTGAAAACAAGATGTTCGGAGAGTGTAGGCAGTGTTTCTGGTCAGGTCCACCATAATTTAGCATCTGCACCATGCATAACTGTGGAACCATAACTCCTATGTCTCTATGATATTTTTTGGACAATTTGTGTACCATAGAGCTACGCCTACAGATTTTTCCTTTTTCAAAACGTTCAGAATTGCGACCTGAAGGACTCAGCTTCAGGTCGCACTTATTTCCAAAATTTTATTGTTTATCGCCTGTGCATAGCTTGTCAATGTATATAGTTTGTTTCATTATATATTTTTCTTTGAAGTGACATACCTATTTATGTTTGACTATTCATTTCCTTGGCACTATTTAATTATTTCCATTTGTATATGTCTCTGTAAGTGTAAAGCAAAATATTGTCCTATGAAAAATTTTCCCCTAAGACAATATTTTATAACTTTATATCATAAAATTTTGTCCCCATCTTTGAAATAATGTGCACAGAAGAAACTCTCCTTGAACTCTCCTATTCCAAACTCCATATTCCACAAATTACAAAAACAGATTTAGATGAGCTAGGCCAGACTTAAAAATATTTCTGTTTGCCCAAACCCTACCCACCAGTCTCAGGTGTGGGTAGGTAGGTAGGGAAATTCTTTTTTAGTCCCCAGTGTTCTCCATTTTTCACTAAGGTAAGGTGGGTGTTTTGAAAAAATCACTTTCAACCGGTTGGTTTTTTGTTTTGTTTTAACATTTCCAACCGGGTTTTACTTTACTGTTCTTTGGGACACAAAAAGAAGGATAAGTATTGTATTCACATTTAATAAAATTGAACCGTTCTTTGCTATCACTGCTGGCCTTTTATTTGACAAATTAGTTGTTAGCATCTCGGATAGCAGATATGGCTTTTGCAGGACTCCCTTCTCCTGCATATGCATTGCTTATCGATCCAAGTTTCTGTCCTGTTCCTCGCTTTAGTGTTGTATTTTTGGCACACAGAACAGAAATATCCTCCTTTTGTGCCGATTAGCCATTTAAAGTCCTATTCATATTTATCAGCTTGGTAACAACCCCTCAAATGAGGGGTAGTTTAACTCTCAATGTAATGACTACCCTTTTATGAGGGGTACATTTCACGAGATACAAATGAACTCATATTTATTTTATTTACAGAAACTTTTCCCAAAGAACTATACATCTATTTGGTATTATATGGTCAAAACATGTCCAAGAAATTTGTAATATTCCTGGACTTATATCTGCTTTATCATTAAAAATAAATGGACCCTCTTTTAAAAAAGTTGTTCCAAATAGAACGATTTTCCCCCTTTTAAGTTAAAAAATCTAAGTTTTTCTCTTTTCTTTTCTTCAACAGTATTGACATGACCTCTTGCCAGAGAGACAGTCCCTCATTTAAGGGATATCCCTCATTTGGGGGATTGTTCCCAACCTGTTCATCTTCGCGATCGCTTGCGTGCCTTTTCCGTTGTTTGATACTTTTTTTTCAATTTCAACAATTTCAATAATTTCAATACAACTATCCGTTTTAGTTGACTTATTTGGCAAATAATTTTCCTTATCACCATCGTCACCTGCCTTTCTCTTCCCCCGATTAATAAAAAGAAAACATTGAAATTTAACGATCCGCCATTTTTGTCAATGAAAACAAATGCGAGGCGCGATTAGTATTTAAATTTTTACGGTGCGGAACCGAAAAAAACAGGAATTTGAAAAAAAAGCCGACCACCTCCTAAAATGGAAAGGTGGTCGGCTTTCAAAAGAAGGTGGTCGGCACACCCGGCTTAAATGCCGAATGGAAAACACTGGTCCCCTACCGACGAAGTCGAAGGGGACTTTAGGTTTGCACTCTGTCCATCTGTCCATCCGTCAGTCCGGCAAATCAGCTTTCCACACTTTTTTTCTTCGTTCTTGAAGTTATTGATTTGATATTTGGTATATAGTTTCATCATGACACGTTATAGGTCAAGATCGAATTTTGTTCCGGTCTGATGATTTAGTCCAGAGTTATGGACCATAACTCTGGATCATATCTAATGTTAGAGTACTATGTTAAACCATATTTCTGTACAAAGGGAGATAACTCATTTTTTAAAAGACATTCTTTGTTAAATTATTTGAAGAATTTTTTGGCAGGTTTGTTTGTTATTTAGTATAAAATAATTTTCTGAATGCTATATATATAAAAAAAAAAATTATGAAGAGAAATCCTTTAATTAGATAATAATCTATTTTTATTAATATATATATTTCAATACATTACATTGTGCAGAGTTTGCAAAAATGGTCGGTCCTGTCGGTCAAAATGAGGCTCGGACCAGTATTTTGAAGGCTAGTGCCGGTCCCGATGACCGATGTAAAAACGGCCGTTGTAGTGCATATTTCGGCACTTTTTTACATCGGTTATCAGATGTACCCGCTGCCAATTTCCGGTACTGGTTTACGGATGTATTATAAACAAACCAAAGCGGCGATCTACACGTGGCCTACTAAATTTGTTCATAGAGCCATTCCTGGCAAGCAATCGGTGATTGAACCCTACAATGGAGCAAACAAATACTGTAACAGCCGAGAAAGTGATTCAGATGATGAAATGGATAGTGAAGATGACTTTAAAAAAGAACAATCAGAAGACTTGAACTGGTCCTTCATTGTTAATTTGCCTGTGGGTGCGAAGAATAAAACTAATATTAATAAAGTTATTTTTCGATAAAATATGTTATTAATTTTATTTCAGGATAAAATTGACAAGAGTTTGTAGGACTGGCTAAAATTTTGTAGGACTGACAAATAATCATGCTTTGTCGGTCCCATGACCGACGGGTCAAAATAAGTTTTCGCGAACTCTGATTATGTAGATAAAAGTTGTTGACATTTTATAGATAAGTTACAAATCTATATTAGTTTGTATTGCCATGCAATACTCTCAGAATGCTTGTTTTTTTATACTTTTCATGATTTTAGAGAAAAATAGAGGAACAAATTTTTTCACCTTGTAAACAACTTTTAAAATGAAAGACTATTATAGAGTTTTGTATAAATTGTCAGACAAATATATGCCAGGATCTATATGTACTATAAAGATCTTTTCTATTAACAGTTTTTTTTTTAGCATTCCACCTCAATGTTCACACTTTTTTTTGAATGTTAACATGGTAAATACATAAAAAATCATATGGAACTGCACCTTCACAAACAAAACTGCGATAGTACAATTGCTTATAGACTGTTCAAAATATAAGGAGCTGTTTGATAACTGTGAAAAATTCCAGGAAAATATTGAAAAACAAAACCAGAAATATGTTATTCCAAATGCATATAGAAAGATTGAAAATTATGGACAACAAATAGCAAGACATATATTGCATATATACGTATATACATCAGTCAGAGCTCAGACATAAACAAGTCGTTTTTATGCCCCCGCCGTACCGGAGGGGGCATTAAGTTTTACCCTTGTCCGTTTCCGTTGGTTTCCGTTCTCCTAACTTGAGTTTGCCTCAACCAAATGTTATGAAACTTATACACAATGCTTATTACCACAAAACACAGATCAAGTTTGAATTTTGGTGGCGTCACTTTAACCGATCTAGAGTTATGCCCCTTTATAAAAGGAAATATTGCAAAATTTTTAGTTTCCGTTCTCTAACTTAAGTTTGCCTCAACCAAATGTTATGAAACTTATACACAATGCTTATTACCACAAAACACAGATCAAGTTTGAATTTTGGTGGTGTCACTTTAACCGATCTAGAGTTATGCCCCTTTATAAAAGGAAAAATTGCAAAATTTTTATTTTCTTCTAAATATCAAGTTTATATAATATATTTTTAAAATTGGAGTTATCTTCCTTTGACCATAATTATAGTTGAATCAACTACAATCAATGCTTTATACAATGCAATGTTTAATTTTGACTACCAGTGATAAAACACAGATCAAGTTGAATTTGGGTAGTGTCACTTTAACCATTATTGAGTTATGCCCCTTTATAAATAGAAAGATTGCAAAATTTTTTAGTTTCCATTCTGTAACTGAAGTTTTCCCCAGCCAAACATTGTGAAACCTATACACAATATTCATTCCAACAAAACTCAGTAAAGATCAAGTACATTTTTTTTTGTTTCAGTTCTCTAACTTGAGTTTGCCTCAACCAAATGTTATGAAACTTATACACAATGCTAATTACTACATAATACAGATTAAGTACGAAATTAGGTGGCAACACTTTTACCATTCTAGAGTTATGTCCCATTATAAACATAAAAATTGCTGAATTTTTTAGTTTGTCTCAACCAAATGTTGTAAAACTTATACACAACCGTTCTAGAGTTATGCGTCATTACAAATAGAAAAATTGCTGAATTTTTAGTTTCTGTTCTCTACTTAAGTTAGCCTCAACCAAATGTTATGAGACTTACACACAATGCTTATTACCACAAAACTCAGATCAAGTTCAAATTTGGGTAGTGTCACTTTTACCGTTCTTCAGTTATGTCCCTTTATAACTATATGATATGCAAGCGGGGGCATCATCTGTGTCCACATGTGGACACTATCCACATTTATTTGTTTTTGACTAACAGAAGTCAAAAATTGTATTATAAAAATGTGTTTTCATTTTCAGACTTATTTAAGTCAGAAAATGACAGACTTGTTTAGGTCTATTCGTGTTTATGAAAAGACTTAATTTTAATTGGTGGCCAAAGTGCACCACCGATGACATCATTAACTTGTCTGAGAGTTCACAAGGACCTGAGCTATCTATGTGTAATTATCTAATAGAACATTTTTACTTAACATAAGATTATTTTCCTCATTTTGTGTGGTTATAACTTATAGATGGTTGCATTGTAAAGTAAATAAACATTATCTCCGTTTTTTTAGGCTCTCATGCTTATTTTTCTTGAGAAGACAAAGCATTATCTTTCAATGTTGTCATAATTTCATGTAGATGCTCGAGCTTTTTATAAATATGCTTGGGTCTTGAAGTTGACCAATTTTGGTAACTTATTGATTTGTAGGAGTCAATATTTGCAACTTTTTAATTCAGGTCAAATATTTCTTACTTAACACTAATCGACTTATTGAAGTCATAATTTGTCTTAAATTGAAGGGAGATAAATCTTGAAACCTACATATTTAGACCTCTAGGAGTCAGAAGCAGATTTAGACTTATTTATGTATGAGCTCTGACTGTACATATATCTCAAAATGGAGGAAATGACAAACAAATGAAAATAGTGATTATCATAAGTGACTTATATATATACCGACACAGAGTCTGTCATATAACAATTGTAAGAAATGTAAAGAAGCTCTGGACAAATATTAAAAGCTATGAAAATGAAATTAAATAATTAATAAAAAGGTCCCTGTAAATATGCCATGCATGATACTTTTATTGTTTTATATTTATATGTGCTGTACATATGTTGGAAAAAACGTTTTTGTTTTATTCTTTAAAATTTTATTGTTAAGGAAAAACTCCAAATATATTTGGAGGTTCTCCTAATTAAAGGAGGCTCATACTAAGAAGAAGAAGTTTATTTGAATACAAAATTCAAATACAAAACACTTGAACAAAACACTTGACAGAACTTCTGTCAGAATAATATCATTTTAATCAAATTTTAATGCCGAATCAAATTCCTGAACAACTTGGATTGGTTCCTCAAAATTGGGCTCAAACGAGTGTCCCGATCGGTCAGAGACGGTCACACAAATTTCATCAGTTTTCTGTAGGATGAAATCGTCATCACACACTTTATCAAACACCTCTTTCCATGTTTTTGCGTTTTCAAAACAATAGAATTTGTTGGAAACTACAGGTTTTGATTTTAATCCAACCTTTATTTGTACTAGACAGTTACATGTTGTTTTTCATCCGTATCAATTGTAGGCTTTAATACATAACACAAATTGTCCTGTGATAAAGCGCGGTCAGATTGGGTCAGGTTATTCTATGCAACAAACTCAAGCCGGATACAGATACGACAGAACTCTGCAAAAAAAAAATATCACGAATTTTGAATAAAAAAAGATTTTGACTCAGGTGCTTTTTTATGGGTCGTTCCGGTTAGGGCAAACCAACCTATTCTTTATTATGGTCCTACAAGTTAAGACGGCCACTTAAGAGGTTCTGGATTTGTTCAACTCAAATGATCATGTGGTAGCGTAAAACTAAAATTTTTTTTGGTATCTCAACCCTCCCCCTTTTCATTGATCTGCAAGAAAATAAAATAACCAGTTCAGAATAAGCACTTGACTCAATATAATATCATATAGAATAATAGATATGTGTTCCCAAACTATCCAAGTGATTATAAAATTGAGAATGGAAATGAAGAATGTGTCAAGGAGACAACAACCCAATCAAAGAGCAGAAAACAGCAGAAGGCCACCAATAGGTCTTCAACACAGTGAGAAAACCCCGCACCTGGAGGCGGCTTCAGCTGGCCACTAAACAAAAATGTGTACTAGTTCAGTTAAAATGAACGTCACACTAAACTCGGAAACATACAAATGAACTAAAATTTAAAAAACATACAAGACTTAACAAAGGCCAGAGGCTCCTGACTTGGGACAGGTGCAAAAATGCGGCGGGTTTTAACATGTTTTGTGAGATCTCAACCCTCCCCTAATACCTCTAGCCAATGAAGAATAAACAAACACACAGCCAGACGCACAGTAAAACTCAGTTTAAAAGAAATCCCGAGTCCGATGTCAGAATATATGTAATGTTTATGTATGAGTTTCATCATAATTTTTTTTTTATTCACAGACTAATAACTAAAAAATTGTCATCATGATGCCCAGAATGAGAATGCCGGTTCGTCATATGGGACCACGTGGTATGCGTCCCAGAGGACCACGTCCCGTCCCCCCACCAGGAATCAGACCAATGAGAGCTCCAGGAGCACCACCAATGCGTCCACGGTTAGCTCCACCACCCCAACCTGTACCAGCTCCATCTATCACTGGAAATGCCACAAATGATCCATCGACTGCTAACAAAAGAGTATTTGTTGGAAACCTTAACACAATAGCAATCAGCAAAGAAGAAGTGGAGAGAATATTTAGTCAATATGGCATTATTACTGGCATATCTATGCATAAAGGTTATGCCTTTGTGCAGTTTGCTTATGAACATGAAGCTCGAGTAGCATGTGGAAGTGAAGATAGTAAGACATATGCAGGACAAAAATTAGGTATGTTGAATGAAGACAAAATAACTGCAAATCTCATGTTTTAATATTGAATACAATGGAACTTAGACTAGAGTAAGAGAATACTGTACATATTACTGTAAATTCAGGAATTGTTTCAGATGTTTTTTATACGACTTTTGCGGTCGTTTATTGGTATCACTTAGTCGTTGTCCGAAGTCACATTGATCTCCGGACAATAACTTTTGTTTATGTGTATGGATTTCTATGAAATTTTACCATAAGGTTTATGACCACAATAGGAAGGTTGGGATTGATTTTGGGGGTTATGGTCCTAACAGTTCAGGAATTAGGGGCTCAAACTGTTTAGGAATTTAGGGCAAAAAAGGGGGAAAACAAGGGTTTCCAGGTTAATGGACAATTACTTAAGTACAAAACATAATTTTAAAGCAGTGTAAGGGAGGTAATTCAAACACATATTGTCAAATTACCTCCCTTACACTGCTTGTAAATTATTTATAAAGAAATGTATTGTCTTTAGGTGATTAGCTGTCTATTTATTTTTAGAAGTTACTATTTTAAAAATGTTTAATAAAGGTAATTTAATTATAGCCATGATTATGTATATAAATGTGAAGGAATTTTATTTTTAGATATTACTATTTAATGTTGCTGATGGAGGCTTTTAAATTTTAGGCATGATTATGATGTCATTTTTGTCGAGCCTGCGACTTTTGTCGCAGAAAGCTCGACATAGGGATAGCGATCCGGCGGCGGCGGCGGCGGCGGCTACGGCGGCGGCGGCGGCGTTAGCTAACTTCTTAAAAGCTTTATATTTTAGAAGATGGAAGACCTGGATGCTTCATACTTTGTATATGGATGCCTCATGTTACAAAGTTTCCGTCAGTCACATGTCCAATGTCCTTGACCTCATTTTCATGGTTCAGTGACTACTTGAAAAAAAAGTTCAGATTTTTTGTAATGTTAAATTCTCTCTTATTATAAGTAATAGGATAACTATATTTGGTATGTGCGTACCTTGCAAGGTCCTCATGCCCGTCAGACAGTTTTCACTTGACCTCGACCTCATTTCATGGATCAGTGAACAAGGTTAAGTTTTCGTGGTCAAGTCCATATCTCAGATACTATAAGCAATAGGTCTAGTATATTCGGTGTATGGAAGGACTGTAAGGTGTACATGTCCAACTGGCAGGTGTCATCTGACCTTGACCTCATTTTCATGGTTCAGTGGTTATAGTTAAGTTTTTGTGTTTTGGTCTGTTTTTCTTATACTGTATGCAATAGGTCTACTATATTTGGTGTATGGAATGATTGTAAGGTGTACATGTCTAGCTGGCAGTCGTCATCTGACCTTGACCTCATTTTCATGGTTCAGTGGTCAAAGTTAAGTTTTTGAGTTTTGGTCTTTTTTTCTAATACTGCATGCAATAGGTCAGCTATATTTGGTGTATGGAATGATTGTAAGGTGTACATGTCTAGCTGGCAGGTGTCATCTTACCTTGACCTCATTTTCATGGTTCAGTGGTCAAAGTTAAATTTTTGAGTTTTGGTCTTTTTTTCTAATACTATATGCAATAGTTCAACTATATTTGGTGTATGGAAATATTTTATGATCTATATGTCAGTCACGCAGGTTTTATTTGACCTTGACCTCATTTTCAAGGTTCATTGCTCAGTGTTAAGTTTTTGTGTTTTCGTCTGTTTTTCTTGAACTATAAGCAATAGGTCAACTATATTTGATGTATGGAAGAATTGTTAGCTGTACATGCCTGCCTAGCATGGTTCATCTGACCTTGACCTCATTTTCATGGTTCATTGGTCAATGTTTAGTTTACTTGGTTAATGTTAAGTTTATGTGACAGTTGTAATAAAGCTTTATATTTAGGACTATCAACATAATATCAATGATTAGTAAAGAAGGCGAGACATTTCAGCGTGTGCACTCTTGTCTATTTTAAAAATTATTTACTTTTAGCCATGATTATGTATGTGAAGGAATTTTATTTCTAGATATTACTATTTAATGTTGCTGATGAAAGTGTTTTAATTTAAGGCATGATTATGATGTCCTTTTCTATTTTAATACTTTTATGTATTTAAATGGGTTTTATGGTTGCAAAGTCCTAGCTGTCAATTTATTTTTAGAAGTTACTTTTAAATGCTGATGAAGGAATTTTATTTTTAGATATATATTACTATTAAAAGTTGCTGATGAAGGTTTTTTTAATTTTAGCCATAACTATGATGTCATTTTCTTTTAATACTTTTATGATGTATTTAAATGGGCTTTTATGGTTAAAAAAAGCATTTTTCTAGTTTCCAGACAGTAACTTGTGATGAAGTGTATGGATCTCTCTAAAATTGTACTACAAGGTTCCATACTACAAAGGAAAGACTGCCATTGAGTTTGATGGTTAATGCTAAAAGGGGGATTCAAAAAGTTTGGGGGGACGGGTGGGAGTTTCCATTTTTTTTCTAAAAGGGTTCATATTTTATTTTCAAAATTTCAAATTTTTGACAAGTTTCAAGAAGAAATCTTCAATTGCACAGTATTGCACATTAGATTTGTAAGATCTTTGACCACATTTATTTTGTGTCAGAAACCTATATTATGTCAAAAATTTGATCACAATCCAAATTCAGATAGTATCAAGCTTGAATATTGTGGCCAAATTTGCTTCAACTGTTCATGGTTTGACCACTGCAGTCGTATCAGGCTGCGCTCAGCGAAGCATTTTATTTATCATTGTAAAGACTTTGTTGTGATAAGCAGCTCATTCATTCAAACTGATCAACTTAAATTGCATTATTTGTATGCAGTATTTCTTGAAATTACATTGATTAATCTAAAATTTTGCTGATTGACCAATAACACCCTTTATAAATGCACTTTCCTTTGCTTTTTATGTGTTTTTTTGCTGGACATGTACTGATTATGTGTTATGTATGGATATCCTTTGTTTTTCTTTTATACACAAATTTCCGAAATAGAATTTTTATAATTTGTATGTGCATTAGTACATACAGATGATTTTTCAGATATTTAACAAACAATTGTACATGTAAAATTTCACAAATGTGATCAGACTGCCACAAGTACAAAAAATTAAGCATTTCTGACTTTCTTGACTATTCCAACTAACTTCTGTAAAGTGTAAAGAGAGAGCCAAGTCAGGAGGATTTGGACTTGAAGGAAGGACAGTGTTGTTCAAAGAAATTTTTAATAGAATCCTAGCATAGAGGAAATTTTCGATAGTATCTAGTCCAAAAAATAACAAACAACATCAGGGCTAACCAAATATTATTATTAAACCATCAAGAAATTCCTATCTGAAAGGATCAAAGTGAAATTGATGACATTGTATATCATTTGTATATTATATATATATAGTTTTTCTGGAGGTTTTGGCGTGGTATGGTGCCCTGCCCTTTTTAGGAAAAAATTTTGGCGCCATGCCCCTTTTCTGTCGTATTTTACAACGCCCCGCCGTAATTTAATATCAATTCTGCAATACATCCCTTGGAACGGAAATCAAAATTTTAATGGCCGACATTTTATTGAATTTGGTGATTATGTTTGAACAGTTTTGAAGTGACAGAGTACAAATACGATTCATGATTGAATCTAATAGGAACAATATTGATTTGTACCTCTACGAATTTAAAATGTAGACAATTTAAAAGGGAACCATGCGACCATTTGAGTTATTGGGATGAACAAGATTTACCACTGATTACGTAAACAATATGATGTTTGTTTATATTTTCTATTTATACTATTTGGTCGGTCGAGATGTCAGATTTGGTGTGAATTTACGACGGCTTTCTTACTGTTGTTATCTTAATAAAATTAAAGTTAAGAATACAGCTGATATAGTTTTGAATAATACGAAAAATCGTTTCAATAAAAAAAGACATGCATAAACACAGATTGAAAAAAGATGGAAAGTAGAAAAAAATGTATAGTAAGTCTTGCTATACAAATCTTTGAATATCTTAAAAATATTTGTACAGTTATGAGCCAAGGTAGCTTTGATTGGTATAAACATGTGAGATCCAAAAGGTATTTGGCACTTTTTTTGTGCATCTAAAAAGCAATGCATTGCATATGCTCTTGGTCATACAAAGTCCACTTTCACAACACATCGTTAGACAAACAGCCTGAGTGATCCAGTATTAAAGTTTATAACTGGAGTTATTGGTTGAAATGAGGCAGTTGCACAATGAACATGTTCAAGATACTATTAGCTGAGTCTAGAAGTGATAATTTTATTACAAAAAGGAATTAAATTAACAACCTAATATACATATCTTTATTTCTTACCAATAGATTTGAAACAATGGTATATTCGATTAAATCCCTATCCATAACAGTGCATTTATATCTATGTAAAGAGGGACCTAAAAGTGTCGTTCTCCGCGCAAAAGGTGCCCTTAAAGTGTAGCCAGTCGTGCTTAGAGTTCCCTTTGAACAAAATATTACCCTGCCCTTTTAAAAAGCTGCAGGAAACACTAATATATATGTGCATTATACACTGTTGTTGATGAATAATAGATACACTCAATTGAAAATGTTTCTTATTTTGTAGATTGCAATATTGCTTCAGAACCAAAGAATAAATCTACAGTAAATCTAGGGGTAAAAAGGTACTTGTCTTTTATGTCTATGTAATCAGTCAGGTGAAGGTTGAATATTCACTTGAAACAATGTAATAACTGTACACTGCGACTTTCAAGCTTTTGCAAAATCCACATAGAGATGTCAAACACAATGTTGAGTCTTAAAGATTTCTCTATCTGTGAAATGTACTTGTTGAGCTAACCAGCGTTATTTATCAAAATTCAAGACCATGCAAAAGTCAATATTATTTTGGGTTATAAATGGAAACTTTTTGACAATCAATTTGAAGAGCAAAATGTTTCAAATTTATTAGCATGTGAGCTATTGACCTTACTTGGCATCTGTTTTTGTCTGTAGTCCTTGACATTTTTTGATAAAAATATTCTCAGAAACTGCTGAATGGATTGGGATATACATTGACCACAATCATCCTCAACTAACAAACCATAGTTTTTGTCTTATTTCTCAAAAACAGAAGCAGTTAGAGAAAAAATGATAGAGGTAAAGAAAATGAACAGGTCAAGGTCTGTCAACAGTCAAGGATATAACTCTATAGAGTTATTACAGAAAAATAACATACATTTGTTATTGGGGACTAAAAAATCAAAGAACTGTAATAACATATGTATGTTACATCACTTACATGTTTCAAAGGGACAATATATATCATTAGTTTTGTTAAATGTATACAGGTTCTATTGATATTACTATTGTCTTTATGTATACTTAACTATAAAAAGATATAACAGTTCATAGCTTGCCAATCATGCATAGTACACCTATGTTATTACAGAAAAAATATGCCTATAATAACTAACGGGTGTTATTACAGCTCCTCTACATCACTCCTAAGCATTTGCTCAGACATTCATCATGCTTAATTACGATGTATTTTAATTTATTGTAAGGAATAATGATCAGAACATGTAATGAGGTTCTGCGCAAGCTTCCCAGTACACTGGTAGACCTATTTGGAAAATGCCCGCGATTTTTGGCTAATCTCCGCGAAACGGATAAAAATTAGAGGTTCATAGTAAATTTGCTGTATTACAGAATATTATGCATGTTATCCGGAGATTTTCCGTGTCGGCGGGAATTAGCCGTTTGTCCGATAAAACGGGTGTGTATTGAGTCAGTGATAGAACCAGTGATGCGTGAGCGACGGTTATTAATAGATCGTTGAACATAGATGATTATAGAATCCGTTATGCGTGAGCGACGGTTATTAATAGATCGTTGTGATATATACAATGTTTATAGTCAGATTAAAAAAACTATCTTATTTCCCTTTTCAGTCGAGATCAAACGGTGTTTTTGATAATAAAGTTACTTACGATTTAAATATCAAATGTTGTCATTGTTCATTAAAGAAAAATCTATTTTAATGTGACCAATGAACAAGATGAATACACGTGTTATCTTTGCTATAGACAACAACAATTTTTTTAAAATATGAATGGAAATCGTATTTACGTTAAAAAACGTAAACTAATCTACTATTCATGATAGATTCATAATGTGAATCGATAGTTTGGGTCAGAAACTTTGTTCTCACTTTAAAAAATTATTCACAATTGTCATGTTTAGAAAAAAAATCAGTCCTTGTACTAATAGAGTCTCCGGAAGATACCGTAATTGGGCAGGATGTCAAACTGATCTGACACTTGTCCTAGTGTATTTAACACCTGCTGTGATATTGCTTGTAAGGTCGTAAATCAATCTGTACCAGATTGATCAGAATTTAATTTTACCTGTACATATATTTAGTCGTTATGGAGGATATCATAGATACATGTTATATATTGTATTGTAATTAATGAAGATAATTTAAATATATTATATAATAAAGACCTATTTGCATATAAATCGAACATATTCATTCAAACCAAGAAGGTTTGAAATTGAAAGTTTTCAACAAACTTTCGATAAAATCTTTCCCGTAAATTACATACGAGTCATTGGTTTATAGTTACACAATTGTTACCCTTCTAACGTCTTATTTCTTTGTGCTATTAAATGAACTCAAAATTTTCCATATCAGATGACATTTCGTACGAGTCCTAAAAATTATAATTGAATAATCTTCTATTTTCCTTTCGACACCACGTTCCCCATAGGAGCCTCAAGATCTAATCATACCTGTCAATCATTAGCCACAAGTTGGTCCGCCAGATAGATCACTCGTGCTTTCCATTATGACATCGTTGAGAAGTTTTTGTAAATTGATTTGTGATATAAATAAAGTGATGTGAAGTTTATTTTACGGCCGATCAAAATTTGATGTGATTCGATTTTTCTTTTACACAAAGATGTTTTTTAATGTCATAAAATACTTGGAAATAAAACATTTGAGTTCTTTTTTTCCCGTAAATATATTCAATAAACCAAAATTTATTTCAAAAGGTAAACATTTATAATCATTACAAAGTTATAATTTGATTTTTATTTAAGTCGGTTAATGGAAACAATAAAATGACAACGTCTTTGCAGAAATATTAATCCAGACATCAACGTACTTAGACTGTCCATTTGTTCCACTGTGTAGGACAATTTATTCACGAACTACATCATTAATAATTACTAATATAACTTACAGTTGCTGAAATGTAAGTTGTATATTATTTATTTTTTTACAAACATGCGTTTTGGTTCCGTTCAGATTTGCTATTACAGCATGTGTAGATTCCTTGATTTTCATCTAGTTTCAGTTATATATATACTAGTTCCAGTCAGTATAGGCCTAATCATTTTGCCTTCCAACAAAGTCAACAATTTAGCATCGGACGTATACGTGAATGCGTATTTATACATCTCTATATGTTATATCTGATGTAATGGACTCCTAATATGTTGTCCTTTTAAAGTTGGCTATACAATATTGGCTGTGCTCATTGTTGAAGGCCGTACAGTGACCTATAGTTGTTAATTTCTGTGTCATTTCTCTTGTGGAGAGTTGTCTTATTGGCAATCATACCACGTCTTCTTTTTTTATAACGTACCCGTTTTAATAGCAATGTTATATTCAAAACGGATGAGAAAACCCCATGGATGACAATTATCTATATCCATGTCAAGTGGGGTTAGGTAATAGGAGCGGAACTTATTGATTATGTATGTTTGTGAGGGTCTGGATAGGATTTATAGAAGAATAGAGAACACAAATGGATAAAAAGTGCACAAGATAGGACCAGAAAAGTAAAGAAAAATAGACGCCAAGAAAATAAGGAATATAGAATAATGAGAGAAAAAATATGAAGAATAGAGAAAAACAGATGACTAACAAATTAAAAGACAATTGGATTGAAAGACCTCCCCCCCCCCCCCCCCAATATTCAAGACCTTCGTATGTGTTCAAAGAAAATCTGCATACATTATAGTTCCTTGCTATAAAGTTACGTTCTCAAAAGCTTTTAAGGATTATGTACCCTTGTGTTGATTAAATGCTAAACATATGGATTTTTTTTTAGAAAATCCACAGCTTTTCCCTTGTACTGTCATATTTGGCGATTCAATGCTTTATTGATGAAGGATTATTGCATTCAGTGCTAGCAATGATTTTTATACGACCGCAAAAAAATTTTTGTGGTCGTATATTGGTATGACGTTGGCGTCGTCGTCGTCGTCGTCGTCGTCGTCGTCCGGCGTCGTCCGAAGACACATTGGTTTTCGCACTCTAACTTTAGTTAAAGTGAATGGATCTTTATGAAATTTTACCACAAGGTTCAATACCACAAAAGGAAGGTTGGGATTGATTTTGGGGGTTATGGTAATAACAGTAAAGGAATTAGGGGCCAAAAAGGGGCCAAAAATAAGCATTTTTGTAACTTCCAGACATAACTTGTGTGTTAGTGTATGGATCTCTCTGACATTGTACCACAAGGTTCCATATCACTAAAGGAATGCTGGGATTGATTTTGGGGGTAATTGCCTCCAAATTTTAGGAATTAGGGGCCAAAAAAGGGGCAAAAAACAAGCATTTTTCTAGTTTCATGACAATAACTTGTGTGTAAGTGTATGGATCTTTCTGAAATTGTACTACAAGGTTCCATATCACAAAGGGAAAGCTGGGTTTGAGTTTGGGGGTAATTGCCCTAAACGTTTAGGAATTTGGGGCCAAAAAGGGGCCAAAAAACACATTTTTTTCTAGTTTCCAGACAATAACTTGTGTTCAAGTGTATGGATCTCTCTGAAATTGTACTGCAAGGTACCATACCACAAAGGGAAGGCTGGGATTGAGTTTGGGGGTGATGAATCATAATGGGGGTTCAAAAAATTTGGGGGGGGATTTATTTTTTTTTCCTTTTTTGTTTCTTTTAAAATTTTCCATTTTAAGTTGGTTATTTCTGATTTATATTTAAAATCAAATAATAATGATATGGTAGGAGATACACACCAAACAGGATGTGTAAATTATTATATAATAAGTATTGTGCAATAGCAAGAAATTTTCAATTGCACAGTATTGCACAATAGCAAGAAATCTTCAATTGCACAGTATTGCGCAATAGCAAGAAATCTTCAATTGCACAGTATTGCGCAATAGCAAGAAATATCCAATAGCACAATATTGCGCAATAGCAAGAAATTGTCAATTGTATAGTATTGCGCAATAGCAAGAAATATTTAATAGCACAGGATTGTGCAAAAGAAGATACTTCCTATAAATTGCTTATTTCTTGACCAATTTCAATGGGGTTTTATTCTTGATTTCATGGGGTTCTTTAATATGCTGAATCTAACCGTGTATTTAGTTTTTGGATTTTGGCCCCGTTTTTAAATTGGTCCACATTGAGGTCCAAAGGGTCCAAAATTAAACTTTGTTTGATTTCATCAAAAATTGAATTATTGGGGTTCTTTGATATGCCGAATCTAACTGTGTATTTAGATTCTTAAATTTTGGTTCCGTTTTCAAATTGGTCTACATTAAGGTCCAAAGGGTCCAAAATTAAACTTAGTTTGATTTTAACAACAATTGAATTCTTAGGGTTCTTTGATATGCTGAATCTAAACATGTATTTAGATTTTT